GAGCCTCTGTTTGTTTGATTTACATGCGTATAGCGTATAGAAAACTGAATTTTGTTAAAATTGGGCCGTTTCTGAACTAACTAGTTCATAGGAACTAGGTGCAGTTCTTCATTTCCTGTAGTTTATTTTTCTGATCTCGTTCGTTTATTTGACCTCGTTTATTTTTGTGACCTTATTCCTTTACTGATTTTGTACCTTATTACCAACTTATTGTGTGATCCATAAATTGCACGATTTTAACTTTCATAAAATCGCTGATTTGATCACAAATAACATTGATGTCAGTAGTTCACACCAGATGTTTTATTGATCTCTTATGAGTGCGACCATATGTCACGCTAGCTCAGCTCGGATTAACCCGACCAACGGGGATTAGATGATCGCAACCTACTAGGGAAGATAGGGATCACCATGAAATTTTACGTTAGTGACCACCACTTTTACCGGGGAACAGTGATATCTTTACCAGCGGTGAGTCCATATTAACCCTACTGTCGATAACCGGGTACATGTGTACCTTTTATTATAAAAATCCTTTAAAATGTTCATTAAAGAGGATATTTGGATTAATTTTTGAAGAATCATTCTTGAGGTATTTTCATCCATAATTGAGGAAAAAATTATAAATATTTTCAATATATATAATTTTTATAATTTTTTTAAGGTTATTACCTACCTATTAAAATTTTGGCCTATACACCCTTCACCACACTGTGGTACAGGGTATTATATGTTTGTGCATATGTTTGTAACAGGCAAAAGGAATCGGGATAGACCCATGGTTCCTTTTGAGAATATGAATCACTTTCTGAGTCGATTTATGTATGTCCGTCGCATTTATAATCCGATTTGAATGAAATTTGGCACAAGCCACTTATTTGGCCCAGGGACGAACCTTATTGAAATTGGGGAAAATCGGTTCAGATGTAGATATAGCTCCACATATATATTTTCGTCCGATTTTAGGTAAATGGTGCACCAAAGTCAATGAAAATCATTCGATTTGCATGAATTTCGGCATAGCGTACTAAATAAAGTCTAGAATGACGTGTGCTAAGTTCGGTGAAAATCGGTTAAGATTTAGATATAGCTCACATATATAGTTTCGCCCGATTTTAGGTAAATGGTGCACCAAAGTTCCAGTATATCTTTCGATTTGCACGAAATTTGGTACAGCCTACTGAATTAGGTCTAGAATGATGTGTGCTAAGGTTCGTGAAAATCGGTTCTGATTTAGATATACCTCCCATATATAGTTTCACCCGATAATAGGTAAATGGTGCACCAAATCTTTTGATTGGCAAGAATTTTGGTATAGCGTACTAAATTAAATCTAGAATGATGTGCGCTAAGTTTCGTGAAAATCTGTTCAGATTTAGATATAGCTTCCATAAATAGTTTCGACCGATTTTATGTAAATGTTGAACCAAAGCCCTGAAAATCATTCGATTTGCACGAATTTTGGCATAGCGTATTGAATTAAGTCTAGAATGATGTGTACACATCCTATATATATTTTCGTCCGATTTTAAGTAAATTGTGAACTAAAGATCCATAGCTAGGCCGATTGACACATCGTACTGAAGTTAAAATAAATTAATATCTGGCAGGTTTGCTTCAAATCGGTTCAGATATAGATATATCGTAGCTTTCATATATAATTTCGACTTATTTATGTTAATTGTACACCAAATAATTGATAGATGAAAAGCGTGTGTCAAGTTTGCTTTAAATCGATTTACACAAATCTGTCCCACTGTGCGCAAACGACTCTAAACTTACCCAAATGAAATGAAATTTAGCATAGGTTCCAGAAAGACATAAAAATTACATATTTATGTTCGTTCAATTTCATGTCAAAATTCCTTCAAAAAGGCGACATCTTTTCGGATACATATGTAGAATATACCCAAAGTGGTGAAGGTTATCATATAGTCGGCCCAGTCCGACTTTACTACTTTCCTTACTGGTTTATATTAAAATAGTTATCTGATTTTTCCATGTTTTGGGTTTGGTTCTGAGACTCTGTTGTAATCATTTCACCTGCGAAGGATATCGAGATAAAAAAACTAGAACGTAAGGTTCGATAATGAACTATAGCTCGAATTTAGGCTTAGCCGTAGCCCCTGTGTAGGAGGAACCAGAAGGTGTGAACCAATATTCCCCAAATTCGGACTTGAACTAAGTTCGGAAGAAATAATAAGATGCGATGAAATTAAAATTTTCTGAAACGGATTTGGTCCAAAGAAACATGGGGTCCAAAACCAATATTTCGATGCGGCACTATTTCATGAGGCACCTAATTAACCAGGGTATAATTTTCTATTAAAAATTTATGATTTATATAATCGGTTTGTAGAAATGTCGGTATAGGTCCACTTTTTGGTATGTTCCCTATATTTTAATATCAAGTCTGTCAGTATATCTATAGTGTAGGGTATCCAAAGTTCGGCCCGTCTATCTCGTTCATTTATTTGACCTCATTCATTTGCTGATTTTGTACCTTATTACCAAATTATCGCTGACTCGAGCCGTTTCCGTTTTCCGAAGACATCAATCAAACATATTGTTGCGTAACACTGAGAATTTGTCGTCCAACGAGCAATTATCGTTGAATTTGTCTCGTTTGGGGTTATGTTAAATCATAGCCTAAGTTAATTGAGAAGCAGAATGTCTGGCGTCGGTTTAAGAACGACGGCCTTTTCGCCGAGTTTGGGATGACAGGTAAGGCGTTTTTAATGAGGAGTAGCGGTAATTTCTTAAGTAAAAATTTCGCCAGGGGAGGAAGCGATTGCCACCAGTTGGAGTACAATATTGATCAGAAAAACCTACACCATTTCAAATATTGAAATATCAATATAATGTAAAACGTATACTGAATCACGATACTTGAAATATAGAATTTTTTAACCGTTCTTCTACATTCGCCATTTCTCTCAAATTTCAGCTATATGACCGATGATTACGGATGTCATTTATCGCACGCTTATCCCGACCAACGGGGAGAAGAGGTTTGCAACCCACTGGGGAAGATAGAGAATATCAAGAAATGTTACTTTAATGACCAGCAATTTTACCGGGGAACAGCGACATCAATAACAGAGGTGTGCCCATATTTAATTTCATATTAATCCTACGGCAATAACCGGGTACATTTTTACCTATTTTTTAAATAAAAATGCTGTAAAATTTTCCATAATGGAGATATTTGAATCAAATTTTGAAGAACCATCCTTGAGGTATTTTCACCCATAATTGAGGAAAAATATAAATATTTTTCACATAAAATTTTATAAATTTTTAAAGTTTTTTTGACTCGAAAATGGTTAGAAACCAGTGAGCGGAGCAGTATAGTCGGACGGGGCCGACCATACGATACCCTACACAACTACTGCGGAACTCAAATTTTCTGCGGATGTTTATTCCGTTCAGATTCCCTTCACCGTGGGTTGTGTTGTGATGTTCGGCTTTCAGTTGTGGTCTATATATCGACTCGAAAATAACATAAAAAATTAAGTTTTCGGTCCACATCATTCCAAAATTATTATCTGATCATCACCGAAAATTATAGGCGTTGTCCTTGACCATAATTGGAAGCTTATGGAACATTTCAAAGCGATCATCGCTATAGTTCTGCTCTCTAGAGTGATAATGGGTTACTAAATAATATACGAATACGGAGTATTCGTGCAACTCCAACATCTGAGCACATACAACAATATAATTGGTCTTAATTTAAAGGTCAACCACTCCTCTTGGATATAATATCAACTTCTCGGGTCTATGTCATTCAGGGGTAAATATATACACAATAGAATACAAATTTTGTCATTTTTCACACAAAAGTCAGGGTCCATTTGACCCGCTAAATATTGACCAATCTTTGTCAAAACAGGCATGCTTATTCTTTGGCCCGATCCCCTTCTCCATGCAAAAATTCGCGGTGTTTGGGCCATAATTGCGGCCTCAGGAGCGACCAGAAAAACCGACAAAAATTTAGTATTTGGTCCATTTCATCCCCTAAATATTAACTGATCTTTTCCAAAATCCCGGACGATCCCACATGCAAAATATCGTGAAGATTGGTCCATAACTGTGACCAGTATCGTGTTTACAAATTTTAATGGACAGACGGACGGACGGACGGACACACATTTGGACTTAGTCGAGATATGACGATCGGTATACTTAAAGGTGGGTCTAGGACCAATATTTCGCGGCGTTACAAACATTTGGGGCTGCACAAAGCTATAATACCCTGACAACATAGTTGTGTAGGGTATAAATATATGTTTTTCAATGACACTGTTACAAATTAAACGATATGACATAAAATCAGCAATGCTCAAATCGATACCTTTGAATACTTTTCTTATTGCCTCAGCAATTATTGAATATCCTTTAGGAATTGTTTTGCTTAAATTTGAATTATCTCTTTAGAGATTGATCTAATATTCCAATTGGATTCTTGTAGAGAGAATTCCAATTGTATATAACTATTATTTTGATATCTTACATTACAAATTCTAATTGGATTTGGTTTGTGGATGGACTTGTAACATCATAGTCATAGCATAAAATACCTATCCAATAAGTATTAATTGTCAACATTGAAATTCTACCTCTATTCAAAATTCCAATTCAATGTCAAACAAAACGCAAAGGGATAAATTGCTACATTTTGTTGTTGTTGCTTTTTGTTGTATTATTGCTTGTCATTGACGCTATTGAATATCATTAAACAAATAGTGTGATGTTTGACTTTGTTTGAGTTTGACTTTAACATGATTTGGCTTCTGGCTAAACCATTCATTCATGTACAAGGGGACGGATAGATAGGCGGACGGACGCTTGCTCGATATTGACATTGTGCTTGTCAATGTTGGTAATTGTTAAAAAATAAATCATAGCCACAAGATTTGTTCTCGCTTGGGAGTTTTTTGTTTTGTTTTATGAAACGAGTACACACGGGTAAAACTGGTAGAATATTTTGATCTCACCTTGACAGGGGATAAAGTTTCAGTGGCCGATGTTGATGTCATTATGCAATGTGGGGTGGTTAAGATGGAATGTATAATAAAGCGTTTTTTTGTTAAGATAAATTAATCGTTAAATATAATAAATCGTATTACCAGTTTAGAGTTTTCCGGAGTTAAATCTGAAATGACGACATCGATGATTTCACAGTATTGACAAATATGAATACAAGAACTTTTAAGGTCCTAGTCTTCATGGAAGACGTAAAATCCTAGGATTTTTGGAGATTGGAGATACATATTAATATGTAGAGGAAATTATAAAATATCTGAAAAGAAGTCGATGCCAAATTTTGGGGACAAATAAAAAAATCAAAACAATTCCTAGGAAAAAGTGAAGATAATTATGAAGGGAAGAGTACTGTCAGGAGTCTGAGTCAGTCAGGAATTTTTGTCCTGTAATTTTAAGATAGTGATACTGTCGGGAGTCTGAGTCAGTCAGGAATTTATGTTCTGTAATGTTAAAATAGTTATAAATATAATGATCTTTTTGTCCACTTACTTCTCTTTGGAAACAAAGGGATTCCAGGAAGAATTGCCATCTTATTCGTTTAGTCCTTGTAGTATTTTCGTTAATTATTGGTTGAATTTCAGCTAAGTAGATGATTGGTATGCTGTCACCTTTTCTATGTGATGGTGCTACCATCTAACGTTGCTTAGAAACAGCGCTTCCTTAATTTTTGCGCAATGGTTGGGATATGCCGTTTTCTTCTCGATGGAGCTATCTCCTTCCATTTACATTTTGTTTCATTCTCATGTGATGATATCGAATTGGGGTATTTGCATATCAGGAAAAAAATACTGTCATAATTAACCAAAGGCGATTCCATAACAGTTATCGTGTCAATTTGTAGAGATTCCTTCTAAAGGAGTAGACAGGTGAAATGATCTGATTCTGGTTTAGAGATTCGTGGAGATACACCTGATATTGCGAAATCGATGATGAATAAAAATCAGTAATTTATGTCCTCTAATTAAAGAAAAGGAATAATGTAATAAACTGAGATAAAATGCCTGATAAAGCACTTTGGATTTTTTTCACTTGTTACTCCTCTTGGGATTAACTCTGGTTTGTTTCGCTTATCATTGTTTTTATACCATTGGTATGCCATCTATCATTGGCTGGAAACAACACCACCTTGAATGTGTGGTTGAGGTCCTTGCTTATTTAGTATTGTCATTTTCCTCTAGATGGCGTTACATACTGACATTTTTATTTTAAGTTATCCTCATATATTGTTACCGATGATGGTTTTTAGAATGACAGGGATCTTCGACATCCTGAGGAGGATGTAAGCATGTGTGTCTTAACATTCGAACACCCTATTCCTCAGGATTCGAACCCGCCAACCAACGGTTAGTATTTCACTGCACTTCGCCACTCTCATTTAAAAAAACTGCTTAACCGCGGTAAATGGCTATACTGATTGCACATTTGGTTCCTGACTTTTCTTAAATCGGGTTCTCAGTTATTCTGTCACAATTTTGATTTGTGAGGTTCTAGATGTCATGTTTCCCATTATGGCGGAAAATCAGATGGAAAATTCGATCGGGACCTTTTATATGCCTAATTACTTATTTAATATTTAGGAAAATGCGACTAAAATCTTCAAAATTCCGAAATGGTGTACGATTCAGAATTGTCCTCCACATTGCAAAAACGGAACAGTTGTCACTTGACCAGAAACGCCAAAGAAACCGAAAAGGATTTTCTTCAAAGTACATATTCCACAAATTGGAAACATAGTACTGGTCTCATTTATGAATCGTATGAGACAAAATTTGGCCCAGCCCACTTTTTTCGCCCAAGAACGAACCCTATCGAAATTGGAGAAATTAAGTTCACATTTAGATATGGCTTTTATATACATATTCAATCGATTTTATGTCAATGGTGCTCCAAACTCCCCAGATATGTTCGATTGAGACTAAGTTTTGCATAGTGTACTAAATTAAGCCTAAAATGGCATGTGTCGGTTTCTTTAAATCGGTTCAGATTTAGATGTATCTCCCATATATATTTCGTTTGATTTTAAATAAATGGTGCACGAATGGCCCCATATTTCCTTCGATTTATACGAAATTATGCACATTATATTAAATTAAGTTATATTGACGTGTTTCAGTTTCGTGGAAATCGTTTCAGATTTATATATAGCTCCCATAGCTCCCAAATATATTTTCTTCCGATTTTATTTTTTTATACACACTGTGGTACAGGGTATTTTGTATTTGTGCATATGTTTGTAACAGGCAAAAGGAAACGAGATAGACACATGGTTCCTTTTGAGAATATGCATAGAATCATTTTGTTTATTGACATACCTTCTTTCCTTTAATAATAACAAGTGTTATTTTTAATTTTTATGTAGTGTATTTGTCAATGTGGTATGTACAATAGGTTATAGGTAATGTTGTAATTCAAGGGGGTATGTACAATGGGTTGTAATTCAAGGGGGGTACGTGCAATTTCTTTTAGGTTTAGTTTTAGGTTAAAATAAATTTTAGGCCAACGAGGGGTGTGCAAAAAAATATATATATATAAGGATTTTAACCTTTTTTAATTATTTATATTATTTATGTTTTTAATTACAAGATAAGTATATGTAATTCAGTAATGTTGTGTAATTGTATGTGTGTATGTGTTTTAACAACTTGGGTGTTTGTTCAATTTATGTTTTTAACAATATTTGTGTTTTGTATGTTTTTAACAATTTGTGTGTTTTGTATGTTTTTAACAATTTGTGTGTTTTGTATGGTTTTAACAATTTGTGTTTTGTGTGTTTTTAACAATTTGTGTGTTTTGTATGGTTTTAACAATTTGTGTTTTGTGTGGTTTTAACAATATTTGTGTTTTGTATGTTTTTAACAATTTGTGTGTTTTAATTATTGTTTGTATTTTGTCACTGCGGGGAGAACGGACGCTTAGAACACCGGTAAAAGACTAGACTTACTTCGTTGCAACGATCGCTTATAAGCCAAGCTTATGTTTTCCAAGATATTGGAAGGCAACGAGAAGTAATGAGAGCAGTTGCTGATGTATGTATGTATATTATGTGTACATATATACACCGTTGCAAACCGCTAACCAGAAAACATACTTTCGGTAAACGGAACAGTGGGGAACAAAAGTTTTCCCTTGATATTTTTTAAAGAATATGGTCCGAGACCATACATTCTCCCCCCACAGTGACACAGTGTTGAAATCTCCGCTCAAGCTCTTGGCATGTTTTTAATTGGCCCAGATAGCACAAAGCCCACCGCAGTCTCGTAGGCATAGACGTCCCCAAGACCAGTAAATAATCTACCTTCACGCCTTAATGCTGAGTAAGTATCGCCACCAAGCTCAATTTCTATTGGGGTATTGCCTCTGGGGTCCACATCAGCCAGTCGGTTGCTAGGAATATCATGGGCTGGGTCTTCGATAATGGGGTCATCATACGGCCGGTAAGGGAGCTCAGTAAGGGAGCTGATGCTTGGTTTATTAGGGATCTGAGGGTGGCATACGTCTCCATGCCAGTGCCCATCACACGTACCATAGCCGTAGGTACAAAAACCAAATCCCAGGTAAATTTGGTAATCACATCAAGCATAGGTGGCTGGGGGTCCTCTATCTGTGGGGCATCGTGAAGGAGCGTGTGATGTCGGACGTTACATTTGCGACAGGTTGCGAGGGATGAGCAGTCCGGCGCCAAATGGCTCCTGGCTAAACAATTTCTACAGTAGCTCCGTCTCTCTACAGTCTCATAACGTTGTTGGGTTGAGAGGCTCAGGAATCTTTGACATGAGCTGATGGCATGGTCCTCTTGGCAAAGACCACAGGCTCGCTGCCAATAGCTGGGATGTTCTTGGCGATCAATTCGATGGGGGCGATACGAAGACCGGCTTCTTGAAGGCTGGTGTTGGCGAATCGGTGAGCGGGATCGTGGTTGGGCTGGTCTTGGGGCTCGGTGGTTTACTTCCATGTTGGGTTCTTCCAAGTAGGCTGCCATATCTGAAAAGAGGGAGAGGCGTTTGTTATAATTTGGACTTTTGTCGAGTCACTGTTCCTCCAGTAGTACGGATATCTACCATGGTGTCTACCCCCTGGTATGTTTTCTCTATTCTTCCATCTCCATTCATTGGGAGGCAGTCGGTCGTCTTTAATGACTATCAAATCTCCTTGTTTTAAATTGTCCTTCTATATTTCCATTTAGTTCTACGGTGTAATTCCCTAAGATACTCTAACTTCCATCTCTGGCAAAAATTTTGGGAAATAATCTTGAGTCGTTTCCAACGGTTAGCAAAGTTTATATCGCTGTCTGACAAATCAGGTTCAGGTGGAGCAAGAATTGGCGAGCCAATCAAAAAGTGACCCGGTGTTAATGGGGATAGATCGTTAGGGTCCTCACTAGCGGGACTGAGGGGTCTGGAATTCAGGCATGCTTCAATGCGTATTAAAATAGTACAAAGTTCCTCAAAAGTGAAGTTCATTTTCGGAACAGATTTGCGCAAATGAGTTTTAAAGGATTTCACACCTGCCTCCCAGAGGCCGCCCATATGTGGAGCGCCAGGAGGAATGAATTTCCAAGCGAGATTATGTTGTATATTTTGGTGGATAACCGAATTTTGTAATGTTTTTAGAAAATTGAGTCTATCCTTTTTCAAGATTTCTGCGGCTCCAACGAAGTTAGTCCCATTATCCGAGTATATGCATGATGGGCATCCTCGACCAATAAATCGAGAGAATGCTGCTAGGAACGACTGAGTTGATAAATCGCTAGTTGCTTCCAAGTGTATAGCCTTGGTAGCAAAACAAACGAAGACGCACACATATCCTTTGGTGATCAAACAAGCTCTTCCAGTAAAGTTTTTTATGTTGAATGGTCCAGCGAAATCGACCCCTGTTATGGTAATGGCCGTGATAACATGGTCCTTTCTGGTGGCAGAGATGCCATTATCTGCTTTTGAGCATGACTTTTGTACAATATACACGGCTTACAGTTGTTGACAACCTTTTTGATCAA